TTTTTCCTAACTCCTGCTGGGCTGGGATAAAGAAAGACCTTGTTAGTGTCAAGAAAGTACTTAATAAGGTCAACGTGTGACAGTGTCAATAACATTTTAAAAGCACAGTTTGTCACAGCTAATGGCAATATGGATAATCTGTCTGAGAATGTCCTAGAGTTGGCAATTATTGTACTATATAGCTCTGTGAATTGTGATTAAACAGATAGATGTTTGTATAGTTTTCAAAGCTGGTGAGTTACAGTAAATAAAAGGTTCTAGCATTTTCCCAGGAATTTTGTGAAGATGTTTTATGTTTAAATATTTTCCCTCTCTATCACTTAAGAAACTGAATGCAGTTTCTTTTTGTAGTAGTATATCTCGTCAATAAAATTTGAAACATTTAATGACTATACACCCATTATATTTTAAACATTTTATTAGCAGCAGTTAGGGGTTACAAAGAAAACCCTAAACAAATACAGAGCCATATCTTGAGGAAGCTTGAAATTTATTTTGTGATATTTCACTCTCTATACCACACCCCACACCCCAGGATGAAGACAGTAGCACCCTGTGACTAAAGAATGTAGGTGATTATTATACAAAGAATGTATCCTATTATGGTAAAAGAAGGATTATAATGTTATAGAAAAATTGATAGTAATTCAGTTTAGTATAGTTATGCATGGCAGAAATTATTGGATGCTTTCTCATATGTGCAAAGTTGGTGGTTTTTATCTACATGTTTATGCATTTGTTAAATGGGTTATATAGATATCATGTAAAAATCTCCATATAATATAGGGAGATCATTTAATAACATTGCAAATACAGAAACTTTTTTTACTGGTTAAAAATCATAATCATAGTTCTAGCCTAGTATGTGTATCAATAATGGAGAAAATTCAGACTTCCTATTATTTTTGAATTTTAGTTCTCATGGAAGCTGAATTTAAATCAAATAAATATGGCAGATCATTTTGAACCTTAGATACATTATAAAGAAACTAAGCAACAGATGAAATCTGGCTAGTGGACTCTGTGATTGCTATTTAAAGGCACTTGTTTTCTTTCCAGTATAGGGAAAAATGCTATTCAGCAATGCCTGATTTGTGCATTATAGTGTGGTAGAAAGATTCTACCTAAAAGATTCTACCTAAAAGGTTCTACCTAAAAGATTCTACCTAAAAGACTAAAAGTCATGAGGCCTGAGTTCAAATCCAATCTTTGTGTTTTATTATTAGCTATACATTCTTGGACAAATCTTCTAATCTTCCTAGGTTTTCAGTTTCCTTATCTTTAAATGAGGATATCGGACCAGAGTATTTTATATTCTTTCTAGCTTTCAAATCCCGTAATCCTTTATTTTCTATCTCTGGAGTTGGAGTTTTGTTTTTTTGAAAGTAGATTGATTTTTCATTGTAAGAGGACAATATCGTTCAGTCATGCTCTTAAAGATTTATATACTTGGAAGTCGAACAATGCCAATTTTGAAAGTTCCACTATTCAGAAATGAGTTTTATACTGCTTTGGAGCTTAGGTTTTAGGTATTAGGCCAGAATCCTTTTTAAAGTGTCCAGTGCAGTGCTGTTGAGTCAAACTTTCTGCAGTCTCCTATATCCGTGCTGTCCAATATGGGAGCCACTAGCCACATGTGGCTGTTGAACACTTGAACTGTAACTAATGAAACTGAGGAACAGCATTTTAAATTTTATTTAATTATAATTAAGCTAAATTTAAATTGTCAGTGGCTCTGTATTGAACAGCATGCTCATGTGTGTGTGTGTGTGTGTGTGTGTGTGTGTGTGTGTGTGTGTATGTGATGTGTGTATTTGTGTGCACATCTATGCTGAATAGGGAGTGAAGGGAGTAGGGTGGCAGGAAGTAAAGGAGAGTGAGAGGCCATTGTTTTGGATGATGGGATGCTGTCCATAGGTAACTGTTCAGGATATATATAAAGTGGAATGTAACACATTCCAGAAACCATTTTCTGTCTCCCTTCCTCCCTTCCCCCCTCCCTCTCTCCCTCTCTCTCTTCCTCTTTCTTCCTTTTCTTTCTTTCTTTCTTTCTTTTTCTTTCTTTCTTTCTTCCTTCCTTCCTTCCTTTCTTTCTTTCACATTCCATTATGTACTTTGATAACCACTTTATTTTTATTCAGGTATACTTGATAACCATAAGATAACCATTTTATATACTAGACAGCATATTAAAATAATTATATGTTTTTCTAATTAACCTATAGTTTCAAAGTTAGGTATTCCCAATATTTTAAACATGATGCACTAGTTAAATTTTATTATCTTACCCATCCTTAAAATATTTTGTTGTGTTAATCTAGGAATGGAGTTTATGAGGCATCTGGAATGTGCTGGAAATTATACTGTATTTGGAGTAAAGTGATATGTTTAGAATCATGAATTTCCTCCTTGCTGTGTCACCTTGTATAAGTTATTTATCTGCTTTGAGCCTCAGCTTCATCATCTGTGAAATAAGGATAATAGTAACACTTATCTCATGGTTTTTGTGAGGGTGAGATTAGATGGTGAATTATGTAAGTTCCTAAATTGTTTGGTAACAAAAACTAATGCAACATATTAATGATGATAATAGTTTGGAGGTTTGTATTTAGCAATGAATTCAGAATCCACACAATGGGTATTTCATATTTATAATTAAATAATAATATACTCTGCCTTATAAACTAATTACATTTTAAAAATTTAACTTTGTAAATAGTGACAATTGGATTGATTTTGTTCCTATCCTCTGAAAAGGGCAGTAATTGTGTAGTAGTATAAAGGAATGGAGATAATTAAGATGAGTTTTTTTGTTCTCCACATTCATACAATGTAAATATTCCTATTAAAGAGCATTGCTTTAGCAGATTATGTTGGAAAATGACATGATAGTATGAATATTCATCTTATGCTATTTGTAAGTAATTAAATATCTTTAAGAATTTGATAAACAATAAATAGTACATTGATAAACCAGTGCTGTTACCTGTTTAAACTACTGACTTCAAAGTGTGTGCTATTTTTTACTATAGTCAATGGATGTAACTTCTTTTTTTAGCATTTAGTTATATATTCATACATTGTATGTTAAGTATTGAAAAGCATTGCAACATTTATATTATTAAATGTAAAATTATTTTGATGTTACATTCATTAATTTTTTTGGCTTTTACTATTTTTATAATTTCCTGATCCAAATACTTTTATTGTATAAAGGTACAATTCCAAGACTCATTAACTTGTTTCTTATGGAAATGTTCTCTTTGCTTGTAGGGTATTAATACAAGCCATTAAGCTAGAATTTCTTCTGGCAAAAGCAATCCTAGCAGATGGCAACTTTTCTCTCTATTAATTTTGGATTGGACATGTATTTTGGCTTGTTCGGTCAGGTCAGAGTTGTAACATAACAAGAATCATTCATGCAAATACAGTCATAATATACCTATGGACTCATATGCTATGCAAACTTATATTCCAGCCTACTGAAACTATATGAAGACTTAAACATTTTCTTACTGTAAACAGGAAGGTTAAGTAACCCATTAAGGCATAAACATCATAATAACTTATCTGATATGACTTTTGAGGTAATGCCAAGTCAATGGCAAATATTTAGTCATATGTCTAAGTGATTTAGCTTGACATCTGAGCATTCATAGGAATTGGACTGAATTGTTCAATTATCATTTAGATAGCTAGTAATGTTAGAGACAACCTCGATAATCCCTTTTAATGCATGCAACTTTTGATTTTAGAACCTGGATGTGAGCTAGATAGGCTAATCTCCCCCAAAACAGCTTAAATGCATAAGATAAAGATATAGCAATAAAAGCAATATAGCTTTTAATATTTGTCTCTACTTGAAAAAAATCACTATCATAATAACAGGTCTGGATGTGATCAAGTCAAAATACATTTGAAATATTTTTCTTTTGCTGATGTGTTTTTCCATACTAACTGTTGATTTATTTGTGCCCCTTTGTATATATACTTAACATATTTACTAAATCTGGTATTTTACAGTGGTCCCCTTGCAGTCAGCTCTTTGAACACTAGACTCATTGCGTACTTTAAAAATAATAAATTTCCAGTGCAGCTCTTAAACTATTAGCCAATTGCCTTAGACATGAGCAGCATTTTCCAAAAATGAGGAATAATCTTTGGAACACTTGGCAGTTAGCATTTGGTTGACACTCTCCTAGCTTGCAATTACCGGAAAATAACTCTCTCCTCTTTTATAATAGGGAACCTCAATAACAGAAGAAAACCAAAACCCATTTTCCAGTGTCAGTCTAAGTAATGAATCACCTTTACTTGAAAACAAGCTCTTATATTTACTTTGCCATGCAATGCACATTAGTATTTGTGTCATAGTGCCTTCTAGTTGATCTTAATTCACTTGCATTCATTTTTTTATATAGTAAATTAATTCATCTTATTCATATAGTTTAATACTCTATATTTTGTGCAAATCTATCCAATAATAGAATAGAGAGAGTGTAACTCAGTGTAATAATATCTCTAAGTTATCACTGTTCCCTGTTTAACATCAGGGTACTTTTATAGCTTTGTTTGATTTATTTTAGAAAAGTGTTTATAACCATATAGAATTGAGGCCAAGCGCCCTCTGAGGACAGCTGGATATGAAAGATACATTTCATGATCTTTTTAAAGGGCCCTATATCCACACTGTTGGAACTTGGAGTTTCTCAGAGAAAGTTTAATATTCCTTCATATTGTTTAGCAAAGCATAGCAGTACTTGACCAACCATCATATCTTCGTTAGAATTTCTCTGGACATTAGAAACTCTATTGTTAATTTTTTTGTTTCTACTGTAAAGTCATAATCATTATACTTATATAAACATTTGCATTTCTTGATGTATTTCATAATATATGTATTATTCCTTTAGTGAATGGAAAAAAGTTATCTGAATGCATTAAGTATTTCTTTAATTTAAAAAAACTTTTTTTTAACAAAGTTTACTTTCTAATTGCAGGTGGCCTGCATGCAGTTTATAAATGCCCTTGTCACATCTCCTTATGAGCTTGATTTTCGAATACATTTAAGGAATGAATTCCTTCGTTCAGGACTAAAAACAATGTTACCAGTAAGTGGAATGTGCACATTTATTATGCTTATGAACTTTAATGCTTTTCTCTCTTTAGACAAAAGTACTTTCAGCAAAGTAAATAAATGTGCCTTGCCGTTTCCTTTTGTAAAGCACTGGACATTTTGTAAGCTTTTTGATATTGCAGTAGTGTTAGTCTCTACATACAACTGATGATTCGGAATTCAGCTAATGATATGTCCAGAAGTGATGGCTTTTTTGGTCTTCTTGAAGTCGAAAGGGAACTTTTCTTTGACTTTGAATACTGAGAACATAAAAGACTGCTATTTTTTTGCCATTTCAATTTTTCATTAAAATTTATTGCTTTCCTCTTTGATAACTTAGATTGATTTCCTTTATATTCAGCATAAGTATGCATAAAATTTTGATTAGTATATTCTAGACACATAACATAAGGATGGTATTCTTGTTATAAATCCATAGCAACTCTTCTAAAGAAAAACAATTTTATTTCTTAAATTGAGTGTGGATATCTGCGCTAATTGTGATACTGTTAAAAACATTTTTGAAATAACTTTATAGGCTTGTTCTAAGATAAATGAGCACACTTATTCTATAAATAGAAATACAACTACCATGACTTTATACGTTACTTAGTATGTTAACTAAAGAAGGATTTTGTTCAAGACCATGGCATTTTTAAAGGAGACAAGTAAAATCTCACTAGTTTCTTTATTTAAGCTACTTAGACCATACCTGATAAACAAGAAGTAAATGTAGGGGTGGGGAATAAAAGGACTGAGGAAAGAAGAAACAAAATAAAACAAATGTCAATGAGCATGTATATAAGGTATTCCTTAGGATATTATATAGGGTATTATATAGGGTATTATAAATACCAAAATCAGGGATATTTCCTGGTGAGGGACTAGTGTGTAGCATGCATCTGTAACTTGTCTTCTGATAGTCTTAACTGAAAGAGGTTGAAACTCATCATCATAAAATATACAATTGGGTCTATTGAAACCCATTTTAATAAGATATATTATTGAGTCTGTGCGGTTTTAGAAATTTCTATGTCATTTCCACTTTGAATGGTTCTTTCATCCATGACTTTAAAAAGCAAGGAATTGGTTGCAGTGAATCAAAACATCATTGTAAATGACCCGAATAGAGGTTCAATATGCAGTTAACTTAGGCACATTCACTAGTTATAGTGTATGTAACACACTTATTCTTTTTTTTGTCACAAATCTCTCCTCATGAAAAGTCTGTGGTCTTATGTAGCTAGAGGTAATATTACAGTCCTCATTCTAGTGTGCTTTTGAATTGCCTACTCAGTGTTTCCATCCTTGTCCTCTCGGAGCTGGTCCTCTGTTTCTGGGAGAGTAATCATGTCTTTGGACACTTGTTGGCCTCAGGGGCTCCTGAAGATCCACTACTCATTTACTAATATGCCATGTTTTTCTGCCTTAGTTGTTGCTGTCTGTTCCAGCTTTCATTTCCCTGTGTCTATTTATAATTAAACATTCATTTTCTGCCTTATGCTACTGAATGGTTGGTCAAGAAAACTGTGACTCTCAATTTATTTAAGTCCTCATCTTTTCAGAAAGGGTATGGACAGTAGCTCTTGTACCTTTTGCACGTTTGCCAGGGTGTGCTCATTTCTGCTGGGTTCAGTGGTCTCATGGTATTTTTCCTTTGGTTATATTGACAGCTAAGATTTTGCATCAGTGTTTCTTAGCTACACTTTCGCATTGGCCCTATAGCTATATATAAAGCCCCTTGCGGTACCCTGTACCTCTTAATTTGTGCTTCCAGTTAGATTTTTCTTTAACTATCACATCTCTTCAGTATGCCCTGATTCTTATATCTCAGGGATCCTTCAGCAAGAGGAAAGTGAGAAATGTCATGTTTCTGCCTCTTAAAGTTTTGGAATAGAACCTACAAGGATTCTCAATTTCTTTTTCTTTCTGTGACAATGGAGTGAAGTATGGCTAAATAGGGCTCTGGTTCTCAAGAAGCTGGGCATGTCCCCCTAAAGAGAGTCTATCAAAATCTCATTGGGGGTATGGCAGAGATGTTTGGTTTGAAAGAAAATAATCCTCCCCAGGTATTTCTGATATACAATATGAGAATCAGAATCTAGGCAGATAGACCCTGAGATTAGAGGTCCTTCCCTTAATACCATACATTTCACTACTGTTGCTGTTGTCCTTGTAGTTTTATTATCACAATTTGGAGCAAAAGTCAGAATGGTCATGCTTTAATGTATACTAGATGTACCTAACATGTCAACTGCTGTCTAGCTACCTAATTTACTAAATATTTACATTTCAACCACTAGAATTTATAGTAATATCAAACATCTTTTACACATGCATGGAAGCCTAATAATATATTCATAGATGAGTCTTTAATATCCTGGCTTTTATCCTATTTACTCTTATTTTATACATTGTTCTAACAGGAGGAGCTTCCTAATTTTCTGGAATATATCATATTCAAAGCAGCAAATTTGACGTGGCTAGGGCTAATATAAATTGTTGGTACATGGATCAAAAATTATAAATATCTGGAATCATTAGGTGTTTGGGAAGAATAGTTCTTGATAGTTATTAGTATTTCAGTAATCCCTGAGACCATCATTGTAGTAGAGTGAAACTTTTGTTTCATATAATTATTAGAATCCTCAAGACAAGGACAGTTACTTTAATTACATTCTGTAGAAATTTATTTTCAAAATTTGCCCTGTCTCTATAGATAAATTATGATGTTGAAAGAGAGTTTATATTTCACTTACATGGAAAATTTACTTTTCATAAATTTGCTTTAGTAATTTGGGACAAATGAGTTATTAAACACTATATAGTGATTTTTAAAATAGTATTTTCTCTGTAGTTAACTTACATTGATTTCTTGTGAAGTTTTCTCCATCTGCATTTTAGTTAGTTAAATAAATTAAGAAAATATTAGATAAGTCAGGTATGTGAAGGAACAAGATAGTAAGAAATTGTGTCTGTAGGCAGCAGGCATTCTTAACCTCTTTTAAAAGACCGACAAACCCTTTCTTACTCTTTTGAAGACTCAATTTTGATTGCTTGACTGGTAATCAGTCATGTACTGGTAATGGACTTTGATTTCTTTTGAAGTACAGCATATTATAAAGAGTTAATTATATGTTTTAGAGAATCTGCTGAAAATATTCCGTATCTGTACAGCAAATCTGTTTAAAAAATAACTGAAACATATTTACAGTATTTCACATAATTATTAGTAGTGTAATTCAGTAATTTTATGCCATTCTTCATTTAAAATATAAACTTCAGTGATGCATTTCCCTTTTTTCAATGGGGTATCTGTCACATTTGTGCTATATGAAACTTTTATTAATTCATTAAATGTTTATTTTATCAAGAATTTTTGAATATACCTTTCAAGGTTTGACATTTGAATGAAAGGAAGTTTTTTATATATGTGTGTGTGTGTGTAGATATGCATATATATTTTAACAGAGCATTATTAATGAACACTATGAGATATTTCATTTATAAATATCTATATTTTTATATTGTGCTGTACATGTTCACATACTATATATCTTATATAAATAATGTGTTGTCCTAATTAAAAACTGAAGTAAACATTTAACCAGTTATTTTCACTGAAAATATTTTAATCATGAAGGTTGAGTCCATGTTTTGTAAAGTTCTGATGCTGATTAAATGACAGTAGTTAATTAATTTGTTTTTTCTATTTTTCAAACATATTTGAATGTGTTAAAGTCTGATAGTGAACATCTAAGAAAGAATATCTTGTGACATAAGAATAAGGAAAAATTCCATATTATAAAATGTATTAAAGGTTTTGTTTTTTTTGAGAGAATGAAAGTGTATTCTTATCAGCTCCTTACGTTACCCATGAAGTTTTTTTTTTAACATCTTTATTGGAGTATAATTGCTTTACAATGGTGTGTTAGTTTCTGCTTTATAACAAAGTGAATCAGCTATACATATACATATGTTCCCATATCTCTTCCCTCCCTCCCACCCTTCTTATCCCATGTATTAAAGGTTTTTTCTGCAATGGCCAGCATATTGGGTGTGTCTGGCTCCTGCTCTTTTCTGAATTGAGTTCAGAAATCGCCTGATAATTAACTCACCAGTGTTAGATAACTTTAATTCCAATAAATTTCTTCATTCCCTTTCAAAGTGGAAAGTTAGACCTAAAACAAATTATTACTCAAGAGGAAACTGAGTTTAAATACATGTATTTGTTATGTATTTTATATGCAATTATATAGAAACATATTAATATTTTCATATGCTCTGTAGGTAAATTATTATGTATGTGAACGTTAGAAAAAGAACACCTAGAAATTGCATAAATTTGTGTTTGGCTTCAGTAATAGCGGTTGCATCTCCATTTAAAATCGTCCTATTGAATAAAAATAGAAACAAAAATATGGATCCGAGTTTGTTTAATCGACCTAATTTGAAGTACACCGTGCTTGCATTTCCTTTTAGAGTTCAAGTTCAGCTCTGAACATCCTAGTCCCTCTTTCGATATCACCCTTGAGCATCCACAGTTGTGATTATCGATTTGGGTTTTGAAAGCGGCAACTTAATGGACACATATTAAAAGATATTCCAGGTGATATATATTAAGCCCAACAATCTCTAGTGTGGCATGCTTCCAAAGATTTTGTTTATACTATGATTTTGAAAATTATCAGAGGTTTGTAATGCATGTGCTTATAATGTATTACAAAAACAGGTCTTTGATGCCCAAGTTGGTATTTTGTGATTCGGCTAAGCAAAAATAAAAGGTGGGGGAGGAGGCTAGTTGTGCATCTTGATTAAAAAGTCCTGACACCTTTTTGCTTTAAAATCACAAAATGTCATTTAAAGTAAATTTGTTTTTACAACTTTCCACGCCATACTTGGGACTGTTGTGCTTGAATATATCCTTGCATTTGTTCTTCATTAATACAATTGATCTATATTCGCATTTTTGGCCAGAGGCATATGTGAATATTCTAACTGCATGAGTTCTTTTGCGATCTTTGATTAGTGTGTTTAGTCAAAACGACAGCATTTAATGTGGGTTTGTAGCAATTAGTTGTTTTCCGTTGCAAAAGTCATCGTTAATTTTTTAAAGTGAATCGTCAAAATTTGGAGCATGAAAAGAAATGCGGTGAATGCAGTGAGGTTCTTTCATTTTAATAGAAAACCAGAGTACGTTTACTTTCTTTCAGGAAACCAAGTGCTTGGGTCAATATTTGAAATTGCTTCTGTGTATGTAGATGAATAATAGTGTCAGGCCTTTATTGCCAAAGTATGGTGTTGTCAAACTGTTATTCGTCTGCTAAGTTTTCTGTTTATATATTAGGATCTGAAAGAAAAAGAGAATGACGAGCTTGATATTCAGTTGAAAGTATTTGATGAGAACAAAGAGGACGACCTAACTGAATTATCACACCGTCTCAATGACATTCGAGCAGAAATGGAATATCCTTTTGACGAACCACAGAAATCATTTTGCATGTACTGTGAAAAAGGGATTTGTGGGTGATTTTGTGAACCATTATTAGAATTCTTGTCTGCCAGCCCAATTAATATCCATTTATTTATATTAGAACTTCACGATGATGCTGTCCTTGAGATTCATGTTGAAGAATTGTCAGACTGTCCTGATAATTTACACAGGCTGTATTGAAATCCGCACAGTGGCTTGCTGCATTATAGGTATACTCTGCTCAATGGTCTTGAATAGACAAGAGCCTAAGGCAGTATTCCTCATGGATAAAGATTTTTGGGGGGAAAAGTTCAGTGAGTTCATATGTGACTATAGGTAATATACTTTTTCAGTTTATTAAATGGTACTCCAGTGATTTAGAGGTATCATTCAATTCAAATAGATGTCTTATTCTCAATCCAAATATCTTGGTTCCTTAGCGGGGGGAAAAAAGTTTAGATGTGATAGGGTCTGACTATAACAAGGATGCTAGAGTAGAAGCATTTGAGTCAAATACAACTAGCATATAATCTTCCTATGGCAGTGATTTTATACAAAATGATTTTAGATCTAAAAGATGGTTGTCATAGCATTGCTGGCCATTTGTTTCACACCCATTAAATTTCTTACTTATGGGTTCTGGGGAAACTGGGAAATACTTCGGAACAAAAATGACCTTTGAGCTGGACTTTTTCTCTATAACGTCTTTTTCCATCTTCCTCCTCACTTTACAGTGCTTTGCTTCCATCTGCCTTATTTATATACACTTCTTTGTGCCTGTGAGATGGAGGGCACAAGTGTTTCAACTTTTTCCTCCAATGTTCCTATCAAAGCATCTTATGCATGAGTACTGGATAAGTGCAGTGAATAACAATTTTGTTATTATGAGAGATAATTTCTAGTAATTTCTTATCCTTCATCAGTGACTCTAGTCTACAGTGGTCTCCATAATATTAAATGCTTTTTATATCAATTAATAAATATCTTGCTTTATATAAATTTCTCTTCATCAGAAAGCTATTTTTGGATTTATTCCATAGCCATCGAAAGGACCTTATGAGACTTTAACACAACACTCTTACATGGGGTCTAAGAAGTAATCCATCATATACTTAATTCTATTTCAGAGAAAACGTTGACATTTCAGGTTATTTTTAAGATGCTGGATTATATCTCCTCTTCTCCTTTTCTTTTACATTGATTTTTCTAGGTCCTCGCTTTTCTTATAAAAGTGAATCCATTTTTTAAATCTGTTTTCTAGTTTACTAAAAGCATTTAAACTTCTACCACTCTTTTTATATCCTAAGAAAAATGTTTCAAGTTCCTTATCAAATACTGACATACAAATGAATGCAAACAGTAGTGATTTCATATGTAGTATTTCATCTGTATAAAATAAAACTGGTCTTTATGAACTTTTAGCAGCCCACACAATGCTTATTTGCCTTACTATCTTATGTGGGCAGTGGAAAGACAGGAGTGTTGGCTGGCATGCATAATATGGGTTCCCATCACAACCACAGGAAGGTCAAGAAAAAAACATTTTCATTAATGGCATTGCTGTTCTAATGGTACCAACTATAAGCTGGAATTTTAAAATATAACGAACAGCTGATCATTTAAACGTTTAATGGTTAAATGGTCTTCGAAATACCTCTTTCACTTGTTAAAAGATTAAAGTGATCCATAGATTAAATTTCTTTATGAAAATGTTTTAAATACTGGAACATGGAATTGAAGGTTTAGAAACAGTAATGCAAACAAAATGATATATCAGTGTTTTCAAAACTGAAGCTGCTTTTGTTATGAATGAAACTGTTATCAAGAATCCTTGATTTTTTTCCTTTACTTACTTTCCACTGATATGAATGAAGTGTACCATCTTCTGTATAATATGTTGAAGGACACTGCTGCTGAAAATTACTTATTATCCATTCTACAACATTTTTTGCTCATCAGAAATGATTATTATATCAGGTAAGAGGCTATGAGAGTACAATTTGTATAATTTGCATTGGATTTTAAAGGAAAATTAACAATATAGTGGGGTCTAGACAGTATATGCATATATATATATATATATATATATATATACATACGCGGGCCTCACTGTTGTGGCCTCTCCCGTTGCGGAGCACAGGCTCCGGACGCGCAGGCTCAGCGGCCATGGCTCACGGGCCCAGCCGCTCCGCGGCATGTGAGATCTTCCCGGACCGGGGCACGAACCCGTGTCCCCTGCATCGGCAGGCGGACTCTCAACCACTGCGCCACCAGGGAAGCCCTAGATAACATTTTTTAAAAGGTGTCAATCTATTTTTAATTGGGCCAGAAGAATATACTTATAAAATCGGGGTATGCTATTTCAGTAGCAATGAACCCAACAGATTTTACTGACCGTATGATGAATTTTTTTTGTGGCACAGAGTAAGCTCTGAAGAGTCTATGGTAGAACTTTTAAGTCCTCGTACTTTTTTTTTTTTTTTATGTTCAGTCTACCCTATTCTTCTAGGTCTCTCTCTAGCTGTCTGAAGCCATGTGTAAGATCTGAGCCAATGGACTTGATTGGCTCCTCCTGAATTTCTTACCCACAAAAATGTGAGGGATGATAAGATTATGTTATTGTTTTGAACCACTAAGTTCTGAGATGATTTTATGAAGCAATAAGTGAAAGGAAATGGGAAATATTATTCTGGCAAGCAATATACACAGGTAAACATAAAGTTCAAATAGTAAAGGAAAAAGAGAAGAGTGGACATCATAGGGCATCTAGCAGTATCTGCCACACTTCCCATGAATTTATATAATGTGGTGGTAGGGACAATAGAATATAGAGATAGTATCACTATATTGTAATGTGGTAAAAGTGCTTTAATTTTAGTGTGCACAGGGTGTGTGGATGTGGATATTTTTTTGAACCTGGTAGCTGAAGGAAGCCCTCCTTCAGAAGTTTAATAATAATAAAAACAGCAATGATAACATTTGCTATTTAGTAAGCATTTTAAGTCCTTGTATATTTTAATAAGACTATTGTTATTCCTCCAGTATAGTATTATCTAGAAATAGGTGTGATCTTATCTAAGAAAATAATAATACTAATATTTCAGCTTTACACACAGTAATGTAATTCTTCTAAATAAACGAATATAATAATCCGTAAAGTCAGAAATTTCAGAGTGTAGTTCTGGGAATATATCTGAAAACCAGAAAATTAGAGAAGGGTTTCTGAATGACTGAAATTATCCATAAGTTGGTGACCATGATCTTATATTTAACTGTTTAAGAGACTCTTAGTTGTTCTTCATACTCTAATATGCATGAAATTCTAGCAACCTAGATTCTCTGATTTCTCAAACCTTGCTTGATTAAAGGGCAGAGGAAGGCTACCATGGGGTTGGGTACAGTCACAACAAAAATGACAATTCTAAAGTCCATAGAGAACTATTATAATTCTCTTTATAGTTCAGGCTAGTTGCAATAACTGATGGGCATCATGATGTTACAGAGACATAGGAAAATATTTAAAATATGCTGGGTTTTTTTAAGCCGGAAAGATAGTAATCCAACCAAAATGATTGTTGTTTCCTCAAATAAGTGCTTGCAACTAAAGGGGTACTGTGCCCATGGGTACACAGTTACCTGGGGAAATAATTTGTGTGAAACCATCCATTTCTCAGTAACTTTGAATAAATGAGAAGTTGTTCTAACATGACGTCCTTTTCATCCTGAGAACATCCATGTGAGGTAGATGTGCGACTAGCACTTTTATTCTACTTATGGATAATTAATTTGTCCTGAAAGAGAACCATTGTGTTTTCCCTGTTTACCCAGAGTCATTGACTAGATTGATTATAATCCAATATTGTTTACCCTAGATCTGATGATGACTTGAAAAAGCCTCAGATGTGTAATACTTATTACTATTTATTCTTATCCTTGAGATCAGCCCCATGACAAAAGACATATAAGAGCAATTAGAATATGTTTGGCTTTATTTGCAAACTTTTAGTAGGTTGGCTAGTTAGCAGCACACTGATTTTAGGGATGTTTATGTCATAGTTTGTCCATAATAGTATTTCTTTCTGATTTTTCTCTGTTGAATTTATTAGCTACTGATAAATATTAAATTTTCCCCGAATTTTAATGCAAAAAGTGCCTTTTAAAAATTTTTGAAGTATGTAAGTGGTCATTTTTAAGGTCAAAATTACCTTGATAGATTACAGAATTAGGAAATGTTTCAAAACCTTTGACACTTTGAACAAATTGAAGCTATCACCATGCATATTTAGTGTGTATGCTTCTATAAAATGGATCTTTTAAAATACGTGTATAAATAGATCTTTGGAGTAGTCTGTAACATAAGTGGCTGAGTCCAGTTTTGTAAAAGCTGTTATAGCTATCTTGAGTAAAAGTGTGGCAGTAAATTCAATACATTGTTTGCCATGTAATGCCAGGGTACTCATTCCTTATTGAAATTGAGAACTTGGAGAGGCTTAGAACCATTTCTGTATCCATAGATGTAGAACTAAAGAGTCATTTGTTTTTATTAACTTTAGGAACAATAGCTTAAGTAAGTAGATAAGGTTGATAAGTATCTTTGAACACAAGCATGAATCCCTGCAAACTAGAGTATTAAGTCACTAAGTGTTCACAGCTGATTATATTACAATGGGTTTTGCACTATAACGTCCAGCCCATCTTTAAGCTTAGGCATATTCCTCTGGAGTGAGTGTAATGGCTAGAAAAGAGTTTTTTAGCCTGCTAGAAAATGACCTAGTTTTCTTTATCATGTAGAATCACTTCTTAAGAAAATTGATTTGTATAGGTAGAAAAGGTATTCAAGATTACTACTTCTCTTTTGCAGGCCACAGTATTACAAAATAGTTGAGGAGTGTGTTTCACAGATAGTGCTGCACTGCAGTGGTATGGACCCAGATTTCAAGTACAGACAAAGATTAGACATTGATTTCACTCATCTGATAGGTATGTGATATAATCCTCAATGTCATTTGATTGTGTTTTACTCTCTTCTGTCTAATAGACACTTTTAAAGTGTAGCTCTCTCACTAAACTTCCTCTCTTAATATCTGGTAAGTCATTGTATCTGTGGGTACTCATTTGCTATAATTATTAATTATGATGATCACGAGAGTTCTGCCTCTGTGATTGGAGATACTAATCTATTTGTTAAGTTTCAACACTCTTGAATTCAGTTTAAAGTCAATGCTGCACCAAAAACATTATATTAGGGGTGAATGCCTTGCTTTTTAGAAACATGACTCTGAAATGCATTGATTCAATTTATGCTGGTACATTTGTGGTTTTGTAGAGATCACGTGAACAACAGGGTCTAATTAGTAATGCTATGTTATTAGTGTTCAGGTCTGAGAAAGGAAATACAGGTTGGTTTCAGTAACTTACGACCTTTTAATTCTATTAAAGTAGATCATTTTATATTTTCATAGAGCTTAGAGCTGGGAAAGAATTTGAGATGCTCATGTTCATCTACTTGGATTGTTGTGGAAATGACCTTATATTATCTGAGACTTGTAGCTAGCTACACTTTCTGGAAAAGTCTCTGAAGGATGATGTGAAACCTCTCTTGTGAAATATACTATGCCATATGACCTTATAGTTAAGCAGTTTTATTTATACCTAATCGAAATCACTATTGCTACAATTCAAGCATGAACTCATTTGTCTTTGTCTTTAAAGGTAGGAAACAACAGCTGTTGAATGCCAGTTATATGTTATTCTTCACTCCATAGCCCAGGGAAGACTCACAGTAATATTCTAAGATGAATTCCTTGTTATTTATCATGTATTATTCTCATCTGATTGTGAAACTAATGCTCACTTATCATAGGCAATCTGGAGACTTATGTAAGTGACAAAATAAACCACCAATTACACTTTTCAAGCTTAGTACATTTCACCATTACTCACTGTTCAGCTCAGTATGTCTTGTTATCTCCATCTTCATCTCTCTCTCTCTTGCTCTCACTTTATCTCCCTCCCTCCTGTATTCCTCTTCTATATATCTATATGCTGATTTTTCATGGAGCATTATATTATTAGAATTTTTCAATATTAATCTTCAAAATGTGACTTTGAATGTCTATATAATATTCCATTTTATACAATGTCATAATCATCTTGACCAGTCCTTTCTTATTGTACATACAGATTATTTTCAGGTTTTTATAATTATAAATGAATTTACTGTGAACATCCTTTATATAAATATTTGGCTTCTTCTCAATATTTCCTTAGGATTGATTCCCCTGAGGGTGTGAACTTTGAAAGGCCAAATGCTTTTCAGAAAGCTTGTGCCAGTGTACCCTGCCCCTGCAATTAATGTGAATGTTGGCCTCATTGCATATTTTTCCCTGAGCTTAATAAAGTCAGTAGCTATTTCATATTTGTTGAGAGAGTTATAAGAGACTGTTTCCAAATACTTGTATTGGCTTATAATCTATTGTGGACCATAGTTGGTGCATATATGCTACTGTTGATTTTGGCTAGCTCGTTCAGTGTTCAGTGGATATTTGTTTTGGGTACTGTATGCCAGGTACTTAGGATTGTGTACCGTTAATCAAGAGCATTGGGGTGGGAAGACATGAAGGGATCAGGTGAGAGAGGGTAGGCAGTATCAAAAACCCATTAGACCTCATCCACGTATCATCTCTGTGATTGTGAACAAATCATTTAACTTGCCTAGGCTTCAGTTTAGAGTTGAGAACTCTAAATTCAGATAAGTCAAATATATGTGTGGTCCTTAATATTTTATGCTCAGATGTCTTGAGTAGATGATGAAGGCTATGAACCTTTCGTTAGAACACACACACACACACACACACACACACACACACACACACACAGATATTAGCTGGTGCTTGAAGAACTTCTAGGAAATCAATGGATCTCTTAAAATAAAGATCATCTGGACTTGAGGAGCATAGAGTCTCTTCTGATTTCACAGGTCTGTGAGTCTAGCACTTTTTTAAAATAAATCAGATCATATCCTGACCTAAATTTCTTCAATGCCTTCCCATTGAAATTTTTCTTTTTTTTAACATTTTTATTGGAGTGTAATTACTTTACAATGTTGTGTTAGTTTCAGCTGTATAACAAAGTGAATCAGCTATACATATACATATATCCCCATATCCTCTCCCTCTTGCGCCTCCCTCCCACACTCCCTATCCCACCTCTCTAGGTGGTCACAAAGCACCGAGCTGATCTCCCTGTGCGATGCGGCTGATTCCTACCATCTATTTTATATTTGGTAGTGTGTATATGTCAATGCTGCTCTCTCACTTCGTCCCAGCTTAACCTTCCCCCTCCCCATGTCCTCAACTGATTCTCCACCTCTGGGTCTTTATTCCTATCCTGCCCCTAGGATCGTCAGAACCTTTTTTTTTTTAGATTCCATATATATGTGTTAGCATACGGTATTTATTTTTCTCTTTCTGACTTACTTCACTCTGTATGACAAACTCTAGGTCCATCCACCTCACTACAAATAACTCAATTTCGTTTCTTTTTATGGTTGAGTAATATTCCATTGTATATATGTTTCACATCTTCTTTATCCATTCATCTGTTGATGGACACTTAGGTTGCTTCCATGATCTGGCTATTGTAAATAGTGCTGCAATGAACACTGTGGTACATGACTCTTTTTGAATTATGGTTTTCTCAGGGCATATGCCCAGTAATAGGATTGCTGGGTCATATGGTAGTTTTATTTTTTGTTTTTTAAGGAACCTCCATACTCTTCTCCACAGTGGCTGTATCAATTCACATTCCCACCAACAGTGCAAGATGGTTCCCTTTTCTCCACACCCTCTCCAGCATTTATTGTTTGTAGATTTTTTGAGGATGGCCATTCTGACTGGTGTGAGGTGATATCTCATTGTAGTTTTGATTTGCATTTCTCTAATGATTAGTGATGTTGAGCATCCTTTCATGTGTTTGTTGGCAATCTGTATATCTTCTTTGGAGAAATGTCTGTTTAGGTCTTCTGCCCATTTTTGGATTGGGTTGTTTGTTTTTTTTGATATTGAGCTGCATGAGGTGCTTGTATACTTTGGAGATTAATCCTTTGTCAGTTGCTTCATTTACAAATATTTTCTCCCATTCTGAAGGTTGTCTTGTGGTCTTGTTTATGGTTTCCTTTGCTGTGCAAAAGCTTTTAAGTTTCATTAGGTCCCATTTGTTTTTATTTCCATTCCTCTAGGAGGTGGGTCAAAAAGGGTCTTACTGTGATTTATGTCATAGAGTGTTCGGCCTATGTTTTCCTCTAAGAGTCGTATAGTGTCTGGCCTTATATTTAAGTCTTTAATCTATTTTAAGTTTATTTTGGTATATGGTGTTAGGGAGTGTTCTAGTATCATTCTTTTACATGTAGCTGTCCAGTTTTCCCAGCACCACTTATTGAAGAGGCTGTCTTTTCTCCATTGTACGTTCTTGCCTCTTCTATCAACGATACGGTGATCATATATGTATGGGTTTATCTCTGGGCTTTCTATCCTGTTCCATTGAGCTATATTTCTCTTTTTGTGCCAATATCATACTGCCTTGATTACTGTAGCTTTGTAGTATAGTCTGAAGTCAGGGAGCCTAATTTCTTCAGCTCCATTTTTCTTTTGCAAAATTCCTTGGGCTATTCAGGGTCTTTTGTGTTTCCATACAAATTGTGAAATTTTTGGTTCTAGTTCTGTGAAAAATGCCATTGGTAGTTTGATACGGATTGCATTGAATCACTGGATTGCTTTGGGTAGTATAGTCATTTTCACAATGTTGATTCTTCCAATCCAAGATCATGGTGTATCTCTCCATCTGTTTGTATTCTCTTTAATTTCTTTCATCAGTGTCTTATAGTTTTCTGCCTACAGGTCTTTTGTCTCCTTAGGTAGGTTTATTCCTAGGTATGTTATTCTTTTTGTTGCAGTGGTAAATGGGAGTGTTTCCTTAAATTCTCTTTCAGATTTTTCATCATTAGTGTATAGGAATGCAAGAGATTTCTGTGCATTAATTTTGTATCCTGCTACTTTAGCAGATTCATTGATTATCTCTAGTAGTTTTCTGGTAGCATCTTTAGGATTCTCTATGTATAGTATCATGTCACTTGCAAACAGTGACAGTTTTACTTCTTTTCCAATTTGAATTCCTTTTACTTCTTTGTCTTCTTTAATTGCTGTGGCTAAAACTTCCAAAGCCATGTTGAATAATAGTGGTGAGTGTGGGCAACCTTGTCTTATTCGTGATCTTAGAGGAAATGGTTTCAGTTTTTCACCATTGAGAATGATGTTAGCTGTGAGTATGTCATATATGGCCTTTATTATGTTGAAGTAGGTTCCCTCTATGCCTACTTTCAGGAGAGTTTTTGTCATAAATGGGTGTTGAATTTTCTCAAAAGCTTTTTCTTCATCTGTTGAGATTATCATATCCTTTTTATCCAGTTTGTTAATATGGTATATCACATTGAATGATTTGTGTATGTTCAAGAATCCTTGCACTCCTGGGTTAAACCCCAGTTGATCATGCTGTATGATCCTTTTAATGTGCTGTTGGATTCTGTTTGCTAGTATTTTGTTGAGGATTCTTGCATCTATGTTCATCAGTGATACTGGCCTGCAGTTTTCTTTCTTTGTGACATCTTTGTCTGGTTTTGGTATCAGAGTGATGGTGGCCTCATAGAATGAATTTGGGAGTGTTCCTCCCTCTGCTATATTTTGGAAGAGTTTGAGAAGGATAGGTGTGAGCTCTTCTCTAAATGTTTGATAGAATTCGCCTGTGAAGCCATCTGGTCCTGTGCTTTTATTTTTGGAAGATTTTTAATCATAGTTTCAATTTCAATGCTTGTGATTGGCCCGATTGTAATTTCTATTTCTTCCTTGTTAAGTATTGGAAGGTTGTGCTCTTCTAAGAATTTGTCCATTTCTTCCAGGTTGTGCATTTTATTCACATATCATTGC